ACGGCATTTATATGCCGCCGTTCTCACCCCGAAGGGGATTCAGAGTGGCTTACAATATATATTTTCATACAATATATTATATTAGCATAGTACAATATCAGTATTATATATTACTATATTGCACTATATTGTAATATTATATGTGATATTACATGTAATGTAAATATAGAATTATAATTATAATATTGTATTATTACTAGTATTTTATTGTATTACATTATAATATTATAAATATTATATGTATATACAATATACTATATTATATTATTAGTAAAGACAAGATGGAAATGTCTTCTGCTCCCCTGTGTCTTCGCTCTACACTGTAGAACTAATGTGGATTTGGATAAAGAACATCCCAAGAGGGGAAAGTGCCTAGTTCCCTCATAGGTGCCATTCTAAGTCTGAGAGGCATGTGTAAACTTGGGCCCTCCGGATGTTTTGGACTCCAACTCCCATAATTCCTAACAGCCTACCAACCGTTAGGAATTGAAGTCAAAAACCCTGGGAGGACTGAAGCTTGCCCACGAATGTTCTACACCAGTGTTTCTCAACCTGGAGGTCGGGACCCCTGGGGGGGTCGTGAGGGGGTTTCAGAGGGGTTGGCGAAAACCACCAGAAAACACATATTTCTGAATGTCTTAGGAATCCCTTTGGCATAGTCGTTTGGGTTCACAGTGCTCCCCGGGTGAAGGTAAACTACATCTCCCCTAAATCACTTTCATAGAAGCAAAAAGTTGGAAGAGACCTCATGGGCTAGTTTCAGATGAACTACATCTGCCCTAAATTACTGTCGATTCCTCCCAAATCGCTCCAGTATTTTCTGTTGGTCATGGGGGTTCTGTGTGGGAAGTTTGGCCCAATTCTATCGTTGGTGGGTTCATGCTCTTTGATTGTAAGTGAACTGTAAATCCCAGTAACTACAACTCCCAAATGTCAAGGTCTATTTTCCCCAAGCTCCACCAGTGTTCGGATTTCGGCATATACCAATATGGAATATTGGTGCCAAGTTGTTGTTTTTAAATTGTTTTAAATTGTGTTAGATTTTAGCTATTCTTGTAAGTTGCTCCGAGCCCCAGGGGAGTGGTGGCATATAAGTTTAAATAATAATAATAATAAGTTGCTCCAGATCCAAAAATAATTTTCTGGTTGGGGGTCACCACAACACGAGGAACTATATCAAGGGATCGTGGCATGAGGAAGGTTGAGAAACACTGCTCTACACTGTGGAACTAAAACAGATTTGGATAAAGCTCATCCCAAGGGGGGAAATTTCCTAGTTCCCTTATAGATGCCATTCTAAGTCCGAGGGGCATGGGCAAACGAGTCCTCTGGGTGTTTTGGACTTCAACTCCCACAATTCCCAACAACCTAGTGGCGATTACAAATTGTGAGAGCTGAAGTCCAAAACACCCGGAGGGCCAAGACTTATTTATTATTTATTTACTTACTGTATTTGTATACCACCTTTCTCAGCCTATCGGTGACTCTTGCCCATGAATGCTCTACATCTGGCATCCTCTAACTGTGGCCCTCCAGCTGTTTGGTCCTCCAACCCCCAGAAGTGCTAAAACAAAAAAAAAAAAAAAAAAAAAAAAAAAAAAAAAAAAAAAAAAAAACCAAAAAAAAAAAAAAAAAAAAAAAATAACGAGCTTGTTCAATTGTCAGGAATTCTGGGAGTTGAAGGCCCAAACAGCTGGAGGATGCCTGTCTACATTGTAGAACTAAAGCAGATTTGGATAAAGTTCATCCCAAGAGGAGAAATTGCCTAATTTTCTCATAGGTGCCACTCTAGGTCTGAGGGTCATGGGCTAACTTGGGCCCTCCGGGTGTTTTGGACTCCAACTTCCACAATTCCGAATGTGGGAGTTGAAGTCCAAACTGCGAGAAGACGTGCTGGAATGCTCACAGTGGTTCTTAACCTGGGGTCCCCAGATGTTTTTGGCCTACAATCCCAGAATTCCCAGCCAGTTACCAGCTGTTAGGATTTCTGGGAGTTGAAGGCCGAAAACATCTGGGGACCCCAGGTTGAGAACCACTGCTCTACACTGTAGAACTAATGCAGATTTGGATAAAGGTCATCCCAAGAGGAGAAATTTCCTAGTTCACTTGCAGATGCCATTCTAAGTCCGAGGGGCATGGGCAAACGAGTCCTCCGGGTGTTTTGGACTTCAACTTCCACAATTTCAAACAGCCTACCGGCTGTTACGGATTATGAGTTGAATTGTTCCCTCATAGATGCCATTCTAAGCTTTTAAACGGGCTGGATAGCCATCTGTCAGGGGTGATTTGAATGCAATATTCCTGCTTCTTGGCAGAATGGGGTTGGACTGGATGGCCCATGAGGTCTCTTCCAACTCTTTGATTCTATGATTCTATGAAATGTGAGTAGATCAATAGGCGGGAGGCAAACGGGTCCTCCGGGTGTTTTGGACTTCAACTCCCACAATTCCCAACAACCTAGTGGCGATTACAAATTGTGAGAGCTAAAGTCCAAAACAATCGGAGGGCCAAGTCTTGCCCATGAATGCTCTACATCTGGCATCCTCAAAATCATAGAATCAAAGAGTTGGAAGAGACCTCATGGGCCATCCAGTCCAACCCCCTGCCAAGAAGCAGGAATATTGCATTCAAATCACCCCTGACAGATGGCCATCCAGCCTCTGTTTAAAAGCTTCCAAAGAAGGAGCCTCCACCACAATCCGGGGCAGAGAGTTCCACTGCTGAACGGCTCTCACAGTCATGTTCAGATGGAATCTCCTCTCTTGCAGTTTGAAGCCATTGTTCCGCATCCTAGTCTCCAGGGAAGCAGAAAACAAGCTTGCTCCCTCCTCCCTGTGGCTTCCTCTCACATATTTATACATGGCTATCATATCTCCTCTCATCCTTCAGGCTAAACATGCCCAGCTCCTTAAGCCGCTCCTCATAGGGCTTGTTCTCCAGACCCTTGATCATTTTAGTCGCCCTCCTCTGGACACATTCCAGCTTGTCAAGATCTCTCTTGAATTGTGGTGCCCAGAATTGGACACAATATTCCAGGTGTGGTCTAACCAAAGCAGAATAGAGGGGTAGCATTACTTCCCTAGATCTAGACACTATGCTCCTATTGATGCAGGCCAAAATCCCATTGGCTTTTTTTGCCGCCACATTACATTGTTGGCTCATGTTTAACTTGTTGTCCACGAGGACTCCAAGATCTTTTTCACACGTACTGCTCTTGAGCCAGGCATCCCCCATTCTGTATCTTTGCATTTTGAATTCTAAGTCTGAGGAGCATGGGCAAACGAGTCCTCCGGGTGTTTTGGACTTCAACCTCCACAATTCCCAACAACCTAGTGGCGATTACAAATTGTGAGAGCTGAAGTCCAAAACACCCGGAGGGCCAAGTCTTATTTATTATTTATTTACTGTATTTGTAATGCTCTACACTGTAGAACTAATGCAGATTTGGATAAAGCTCATCCCAAGAGGAGAAATTTCCTAGTTCTCTTGTAGATGCCATTCTAAGTCTGAGGGACATGGGCAAACGAGTCCTCCGGGTGTTTTGGACTTCAATTCCCACAATTCCCAACAACCTAGCGGCTATTACAAATTGTGAGAGCTGAAGTCCAAAACACCCGGATGGCCAAGTCTTATTTATTTATTTTTGAAATGGTCATATGACTGATCAAATAAATAAATATTATTTATTTACTGTATTTGTAATGCTCTACACTGTAGAACTAATGCAGATTTGGATAAAGCTCATCCCAAGAGGAGAAATTTCCTAGTTCTCTTGTAGATGCCATTCTAAGTCTGAGGGACATGGGCAAACGAGTCCTCCGGGTGTTTTGGACTTCAACCCCCACAATTCCCAACAACCTAGGGGCGATTACAAATTGTGAGAGCTGAAGTCCAAAACACTTGGAAGGCCAAGTCTTGCCCATGAATGCTCTACATCTGGTATCCTCTGTGGCCCTCCAACTCCCAGAAGCCATAATGAGCTTGTTCAATTGTCAGGAATTCTGGGAGTTGAAGGCCCAAACAGCTGGAGGTCCACAGTTGAGGAAGCCTGTCTGCATTGTAGAACTAATGCAGATTTGGATAAAGTTCATCCCAAGAGGAGAAACTGACTAGTTCCTTCATAGGTGCCACTCAAAAGTCTGAGGGGCATGGGCAAACTTGGGCAATCAGGGTGTTTTGGACTCTCAACTCTCACAATTCCTAACAGCCTACCGAACGGTAGGAATTGTGGGAACTGAAATCCAAAACACCCAGAGGACCTAAGTTGGCCATGTATGCTCTAGACTGTATAACTAATGCAGATTTGGATAAAGCTCATCCCAAGGGGGGAAATTTCCAAGTTCCCTCATGGATGTCATTCTAGGTCCGAGGGGCAAACGAGTCCTCCGGGTGTTTTGGACTTCAACTCCCACAATTCCCAACAACCTAGTGGCTATTACAAATTGTGAGAGCTGAAGTCCAAAACACCCGGAGGGCCAAATCTTATTTATTAATTATTTATTTACTGTATTTGTATACCGCCTTTCTCAGCCTATCGGCGACTCTTGCCCATGAATGCTCTACATCTGACATCCTCAAACTGCGGCCCTCTAGCTGTTTGGGCCTCCAACTCCCAGAAGCCCTAATGAGCTTGTTCAATTGTCAGGAATTGTGGGAGTTGAAGGACCAAACAGCTGGAGGTCCACATTTGAGGATGCCTGTCTATATTGTAGAACTAATGCAGATTTGGATAAAGTTCATCCCAAGAGGAGAAATTGCCTAGTTTTCTCATAGGTGCCACTCTAGGTCTGACGGTGTTTTGGACTTCAACTCCCACAATTCCTAACAGCCTACTACAGTTCCCAGAAGCCCCCAGCCTGCATTCGCACCCTCCAAAACACCCGGAGGGCCCAAGCTTGCTTATGCCTGTTCTACACTGGATTAGGATACATCTCATTGGAGACAGGCAAGCGGGGGAAGGGCCTAGTTCCCTCCCTGGCTGTCTGTCCTTCCTTCCTCACCGTCGGCCTCGGCGCGCACCAGCAGCGACATCCCCTTGAGCCTCTCCACGTAGGTGGAGGAGACGTGTCCGGTCCCGCGGTCGTCCCATTGCCGCTCCTCGTTGAGCGTGTACACCTTCACCCGCCGCCGAGTGTCCGACATGGCTGGGCCCCGCTGCGGAGGCCGAGGGAGGCGAAGCAGGCCCAAGGCCTCCTCCTCCTCCTCCTCAGTGTTGTCGCTGTCCTCACAGCCGCCGCTCAGGAGGCCTTGGCCTGCCCGCTTCTCATGCTGCCCCTCTTTCTCCGCCTCGTTCTCGCCTCAGAGATGCCTCAGAGGTGTTCCTCCCGCTGCTGCCGCCGCCGCCATCTTGGAATCCTCCGACTCCTGTCCCGTCGCTGCCTTTCTCTTCCTCTCAGAGCCCAAGCGGAAGGCCTCTGCACGGGCTCCACTCGCAGGGGCTACGGCGGCCGGGAAGGGAAAAAAGGAAAGGGAGGAGAGAACGCGCGAAGGGGGAAGGAAGGGAGGGAGGGAGGAAAGGAGGCTGCGCCTGCGCACTGACGTGGCGGGAAAGCCCGGGCTAGGCGGCACGCGCGCGCTGAATCGAGTGCAGCCTTGTACACAAACCGCACAAACCCTTCGCCTTCTGCATATATACATACATACATACATACATACATATACACACACACACACACACACACACACACACACACACACACACACACACATTTATATGCCTCCCTTCTCACCCTGAAGGGGACTCAGAGCAGCTTACAAGGTATATATATACAATACAATATAATATATAATACAATATATTATGATTAGCATAGCACAATATCAGTATTATACTGTGTATTGCTATATTGTACTATACCATTATATTGCAATATTATTAGTAATATTACATGTGATATAACTATATAGTAATACTAGTAGTGGTATTATATTGCATTACGTTAGTAATATTACGTGTAATATAAATATATTACATGTAATACATGTAATATAAATATATTACATGTAATATAATAATATATTGTCTGGAGAGGCCCCGCTCTCGGTCCCACCAGCCTCGCAAGCGCGTCTGGTGGGGACGAGGGACAGGGCCTTCTCGGTGCAGGCCCCGCGACTCTGGAACTCTCTCCCACCAGAGATCAGAACCGCCCCTTCTATCCTGACTTTTAGTAAACAGGTGAAGACGTGGTTATGGAGACAGGCTTTTGATGAGTGAGACAACACCCTAAGACATGGATGCAAGATGATGTATAATTGTTTTTTAGTAGGATGACTGACCACTGTAGTTTTGGATATATTTGTTGTTTTAATGTGTTATTGTAATATAAACTATGATGTTTTTACCGATTGTATGTGTTTTTATGGTTAGAATCATAGTGTAGAACAGCCAATATGATTTTGGTCTGCATCAATAGGAGTCTAGTGTCTAGATCCAGGGAAGTCATGCTACCCCTCTATTCTGCCTTGGTTAGACCACACCTGGAATCACACTGTGTTCAATTCTGGGCATCATAATTGAAGGGAGATGTTGAGAAGCTGGAATGTGTCCAGAGAAGGGCGACTAAAATTATCAAGGGTCTGGAGAACAAGTCCTATGAGGAGCGACTTAAAGAGCTGAGCATGTTTAGCCTGCAGAAGAGAAGACTGAGAGGAGACATGATAGCCATGTATAAATATGTGAGGAGAAGTCATAGGGAGAAGAGAGCAAGCTTGTTTTCTGGTGCCCCAGAGACTAGGACGTGGAACAATGGCTTCAAACTACAAGAAATGAGATTCCATCTGAACATTAGGAAGAACTTCCTGACTGTGAGAGCTGTTCAGCAGTGGAACTCTCTGCCCCGGAGTGTGGTGGAGGCTCCTTCTTTGGAGGCGTTTAAGCAGAGGCATAGTTAAAGCCATGGCATTCCCCATAGTCACCTACGATGTGAGAGCTGGACCATAGGGAAGGTTGAGCGAAGGAAGATAGATGCTTTTGAACTGTGGTGTTGAAGGAAAGTTCTGAGAGTGCCTTGGACTGCGAGAAGATCCAAACAGTCCATACTTCAGGAAATAAAGCCCGACTGCTCATTGGAGGGAAGGATATTAGAGACAAAGTTGAAGTAGTTTGGCCACATCATGAGGAGACAGCAAAGCTTGGTGAAGACAATGATGCTGAGGAAAATGGAAAGAAAAAGGAAGAGGCTGACCAAGGGCAAGATGACATGCTTGAAGTAACTGGCTTGACTCTGAAGGAGCTGCGGGAGGTGACGGCCGACAGGGAGCTCTGGCGTGGGCTGGTCCATGAGGTCACGAAGAGTCGGAAACGACTGAACAAATCAACAATGAGAGGCTGGATGACCATCTGTCGGGGGTGCTTTGAATGCGATTTTCCTGCTTCTTGGTTGGACTGGATATAAATATAGGGGTATAAATATAGCATGTGTTCTCTCTCTTTGCTCTGACCGTGCTAATGAGTGTTACTGCAATGAATGAAATTAAATGAAATTAAAGATAAGAGCTGCTACTGAAGCAGAAACAACTGGTCAGTTAATTGGATAATAAGAAGCAAGTTAGTCAGCAAATAGCATTGATATTATCAAATGCCTTTTCTGCATCTAGAAATATCAAGGCTGCTCTTTTTACATTTTGTTTATCTAACCTGTTTATCTAACCTGCAAATAATCTATTGGCATCACTCTCAACCAGAAAGAGGCTTTAAGTAATAATTTGTTAACAGCTCTTTATAAGGCTGATTATTTATCAAAAAATAATTATTTATTATTGCTCCACAAAAGCTTTTATAAGAGCTCTTGGGGATTATTATTATACCTACTTATATGTATCTTTATAGCCTTCTTTTTCTCTGCCAAAGGAGACTCAAAGCAGCTAACCTTATAAACCATAACCATTTATGAATTAAAGCTTAACACATACAAACAATAAAATAGAATTAAACATAGAAATATTAAAAATACATAGTTGAGACCATGAAACAAATCTATTAAATTACATATAATCCAGTACCCAATACAGATATATAAAAGGTAAATGTTTTCCCCCAACATTAAGTCTAGTCGTGTCCGACTGTGGGTTGGTGCTCATCTCAATTTCTAAGACGAAGAGCTGACATTGTCCGTAGACACCTCCAAGGTCATGTGGCTGGCATGACTGCATGGAGCACTGTTACCTTCCCGCTTGAACGGTACCTATTGATCTACTCACACTAGCATGTTTTCAACTGCTAGGTTGGCAGAAGCTGCGCCTAATAGTGGGAGCTCACCCTGCTCCCTGGATTTGAACTGCCAACTTTTGGTCAGCAAGTTCAGCAGCTCACTGGTTTAACTCGCTGCACCACTGGGGGCTCCAAAGATATATATGCCTCTTGCTTATTTGGAAAAAGAAATGGAAAACAGGTGCAAGGGTAGAGTCAATATTTTAATCACTTAAAGTAGCAAAATACACAGGCATAATATCAAAGTTTTATATGTTCACATTTACATTCTCTCAATCTTAACCAGTTCTCCAGCCACAATCTGATATATGGACACCAAACCATTGTTTTTTTAGGTTTGCCTTAAATTGTAGTTGAATTGTTGCATTTCTGTGTATTTCTACATTTTTTCTTATAGGCTTCCCTTGTCGTTAGATAACTTGCTTTCCAACAACTTGCTCTTTCAACTTTCAGATTATAGCCATGTACCACACTTTTGATCTCTGGCCTGCTCTTTTGACCATATGTTGCTTCTTTCTCTCTATGTGCGTTTAAGTGGAACTATTTAGTATTCAGTCTTGCATTTGCAAACTAAAAGAAAAAGAAAAAAAAGACTGCGCTCTACTTTGCAGTTTTTGACATTGACCAGGTCCTTAAACTACTGAATAAGTGGGGAGGTCTCTATTATGGTAGTCCGTGATCGCTCCCCGTCTCTGGAACTCCCTCCTTGAAGAAATAAAAACGGCCCCTCATCCACCTCTCTTTTAAGAAACTTCTGAAAACGAACAAATGCACTTTAGCGTATGGAGAGGAGGAGGGTTAGGGGATTTTAACCCATTGGAACACTGGCTAACCAACTTGCATTTTATGGCTGCTACAATACGTCTTAATACTGGTGTTAGCCATTTTAAAGTAATTGTATCTTAATTGCTTTTAGGGTATATGTTGTAATGTTTTACTCATGTTTTAGTTTACTATTCTGCAAGTCGCTTCTGGTGTTTAGCTTGTATTGCACCACCTGACATCCGTCGGGAAGTAGCAACTAATAATGAAAGGACCAAGATAGTGACATCTCCAGCCCATCCTCTGTTTGGATATCAGCCAGCATGCCAAGGGCTTAAATCAAGAAACAGCTTCCTAAGATCGAAAGAGATACTCGCAGGAACACTTCAGCAAACCAGAATCCAAAAGTGGCAGGTTAAAACCCAGCACCTTAATCAGTGGCTGAGAGTGGATGAGAAACTCCCACCTGGGCACACAGAAGATTGGGCGACTTGGAAGGCACTGAACAGGCTGCGCTCTGGCACCACGAGATGCAGAGCTAACCTTAAGAAATGGGGCTTCAAAGTGGAGTCCACGACATGAGAGTGTGAAGGAGAGCAAACCACAGACCACTTCTTACAATGCAACCTGACCCTGCCTCATGCACAATAAAGTACCTTCTTACAGCAACACCAGAGGCACTCCAAGTGGCCAGTTTCTGGTCAAAGGACATTCTGCCTAATGCCAAGTTTTTAAAACTTTGTGTTTTTAAATGCATTTTCACTGTATTCTCAACTTGTTTCTGACACAATAAATAAATAGTTTACTATGCCTTATTGGATTGTTTTTTATTATTTTCATCTCAATGCTTAATTCTTTGTTGTAAGTTTACTGTTGTTACTGTGCATTATCATCTCGTATTATGTGTTTGTATTCACTGGCATTAAATGCTTGCCTTTTTGTTTTGTGCCTGTAAATTGCCCCGAGTATCTTCAGTGAAAGGGAAGTCTAGAAATAAAATAATAATAATAATAATAATAATAATAATAATTATTATTATTATTATTATTATTATTATGTCCATCCTTTGATTCAATTCTACTGTTTAAGAAATAGGATCTAATCTGGTATGGGATCTGAAATACCACATTACCTTCCATACACAGAACATGATCCTTTTGAAAAGTGTCCTTTGAAGAAATGGTTTTATAATAATAATGTAATGGTTTTAAGATAGCAGTTACACTGATGTAACCTAAAGTTACATCAATCTACAGACTTTTTGTGTCAGGAGTGACTTGAGAAACTGCAAGTCGCTTCTGGTGTGAGAGAATTGGCCATCTGCAAGGATGTTGCTCAGGGGATGTTCGATGTTTTACCATCCTTGTGGGAGGCTTCTCTCATGGCCCCGCATGGGGAGCTGGAGCTGACAGATTCAAACCGCTGACCTGTCAGTCAGCTGTCCTGCCAACATGAGAGTTCAACCCATTGTGCTTCAAATAAATTGTAATATATATATATATAATCTATAACTTATTTGTACATTATGCTGCACAGTTCTTCCAGTATTATAACTATCAAATCCTACCCACCACTTCATGAGTTTTTAACAGTAAATACGCAAATAAAATTCCATTAAAAGGGCTTGAAATGACAGTAGTCATATACATTTTGGAATAAATTTTCTTTTCTCTAGTTTACATGCCAGAGAACTAGCTGGGCTTTAAAAATAAATATACTTGCAAGTAGACCAACACATAAAAGGAAACCATGTTTGGGAGTGTATATATGGAGACATATATCTTTAAGAGCCTCTGAATAACAGAGAGAAGACATTAATTAGGCACTGATCTTTTCTGTAGTGACTGGAGGGAGCAATTCCACTCATTTAGAAATTGTTGCCTCAGATTTCACATGATTTATTAAGGAAATACTCCATAGGAGGAAAAACACATCTGACGGTAAACTAGCATTCAAATATATTCATACAAAACGTGACACGTGCCTGTGCGTAGAGTCCTGTGTGATAAGGATCTATCTGCATGATGAAAACATTGAAGTTATTTTTGCAGCAACTACTCAGTCTCTTTCAGAAGTCTACAGTTTTGGAAATCCAATATTCCTATGCTTTGGAAAGCTGCTATGATGATGTAGTAGTAGCAGACTCTGGAACTGCACCTCCCATTACTATATTGTTTCTGTCGCTTAATGTTTTAACAACAGATGAAGCTGGAGACTGAAGCACTTTCCTTGAAAGCCTCATTCTGCCATCGGTTGGATCTCGCCCAAAATATTTCACCTGTTGGTAGGAAGAAGTGGGGTTAAATCTTTGCCAATTTAGTAAAGTTTCACTGTAAGAACACTGATGCAAAGTTCCTCTTTTTGAAGAGTTGTGATGTTTCTATATCAGGCACAGGCAAACTTTGGTCCTCCAGGTGTTTTGGACTTCAACTCCCACAATTCCTAACAGCCTACCGGCTGTTAGGAATTGTGGGAGTTGAAGTCCAAAACACCTGGAGGACCAAAGTTTGCCTGTGCATGATCTATATGAATGAAGATCCCTATTTACATACTGAGTAGTCACAGTAAACAATGGAAGTCCTTGTGACCGAAAACTTTTGCAGACACTTTATGGAGGCGAGTGGCTGGTAAAACAGGTTTATCTTCACGGTGAGAGCATGTAACAATGCAAAAGGCGGAAAGATAGGACTATGGTTCAACCTAGAAAGAATCAGACATGGAAAGAACACTGAACTGGCTTGGGTTGTTGTAGATTTTTTCAGGCTATATGGCCATGTTCTAGAGGCATTCTCTCCTGACGTTTCGCCTGCATCTATGGCAAGCATCCTCTGAGGATTGCCATAGATGCAGGCAAAACATCAGGAGAGAATGCCTCTAGAACATGGCCATATAGCTTGAAAAAACCTACAACAACCCAGTGATTCTGGCCATGAAAGCCTTCGACAATACCACAAACCGGCTTATTAGCCAACTGCTATTCAGGGCCAGCAATGGCCCACTCCTCCTGCTGTGAGCATCCCTGACAAGCGTAAATGGTTGGCAAAGAAAATGTCATATTTTCTCACTTGCATCATGACACAGAGAAATAAAACTAGAATCTTGCCTCTGCTTGGAAGAAATGCCTATTTTTCCCCATGCTAATGAGAGACTCGGTGTATCTACACTGTAGAATGAATGAAGTTTGGCACCACTTTAACTGACATGGCTCCATGCCATGGAATCCTGGGATCTGTATTTTGGTGAGGCGAAGAAGGCTAAAGCCTGTGGAAACTACAAGTCACACAATTCCATAACACGGAGTCATGGAAATTATTATTTATTTATTTTATTTACTATACTTGTATACCGCCTTTCTCAGCCTATTGCCGACTCAAGGTGGTGCTTAAAGTGGTGTCAAACTACATTAATTCAACACTATACATGTAGGTCCAGAGAAAGGATCTACAGACAATTAAATAGACATACAGTCATCACGCCACATCTTCTAGGGATTGGTTCCAGGACTCTCAACAGACAACAAAAATGGAGATGCACAAGCTCTTTATATTTTGTTGTTCATTCGTTCAGTCGTCTCCGACTCTTTGAGACCTCATGGACCAGCCCACGCCAGAGCTCCCTGTTGGCCGTCACCACCCCCAGCTCCTTCAAGGTCAGTCCAGTCAAATTGCATATTTTCTATTAAAAAACTAGCTGTCTCCTGCCACGCGTTGCTGTGGCCCAGTCTGTGTATATGTGTTGCGTGTGTATGTATGTGGTTTTGTGCATGCGCTGTAATGCATTTTTTTTATTTTTTTGGCTTTTTAAGTCTCTTACACTGTGTTTTTCAGTGTTTATGTTGTTGTTGTTGTTATTATTATTATTATGTGTTTTAACTGCTTTCTTTTAATAGTTTCATGTTGAATTCCATTTTTTCCCAAAGTTTAGCCTTGAAATTGCACATTGTGTTTGTAGTATTGTTAGCCACTGTTGGAAAGGCACAGGGTGCATCCACCCTGTAGGCTTTAATGCAGGTTGAGCACCACTTTATAATAATAATTAGTATTATTATTATTACCACGCGTTGCTGTGGTGCACTCTGTGTATATGTGTTTTGTGTGTGTATAAAAGTGTGTATGTAGTTTTGCACATGCATTGTAATTTTTTTGGCTTTTTAAGTATCTTCTGCTGTGTTTTAAGTGTTTTTATGAGTGATCGTCACTTGTCAGCCTGACAGGTGTATTGTGTCCATATTTGGTGTCCATTCATGTGTTATTTATTTATTATTTATTTATTTACTATATTTATATATCGCCCCTCTCAGCCCAGAGGCGACTCGGAGCGGTTCACAAATTGGCAACAATTCGATGCCTCAACAATTATAACAAGTAAAAACAATCAAGAAATTCTGTTAAAAACAATAGCGTATGATATAAAAAATATAAAAACCGTACAAAGCCTTAAAACATTATCGTAAATTATGTTAATCCCACAAGCGAACATTACATTTTTATTTATATAGATTGAATATTGATATTGACTTGTGAATAATTGGATCCATGGAACCAGAGCCCGTTGAACATGGCAGGCCTGCTGTATGTTCTTGTCTTATGCAATCCCACATATATTTCTTGAGAGCAGCACACGGTTCTATATTTTACAGTACTGATCCATCACCTGTCCTCAGTGAAATTTAAAATAAAAAATGAGTCATTTCTACATTGACTATATCACGTTATATCTTGCTCACTTGTACAATCTAAAAACAGCCATCTACACATTTCATGTATTACAAGATTCGAACTGTTACCTGGATTTCCTGTCCCACCTCTAATCCAAGAGCGCTAGGATGCTTAATCTAGAACAAAACATTTACATTATTGAGATTTGTCTTTACAGCTCAATAATATTTTTTAGTATAACTGAAAAGCATATAAAAGCATTTGCCAAAATAATTCATTACTGTATAGAATACATTCATTCTCAAATGTTCCATCTTCAACTAACATTCACCCCAAAATTTATAAAGTGCTCATTAATGACCAAACTCTTTTGTATATTATTATTCATAAAATTGTGGGAAACAAGTCTTAAAAGATCTGTGTGTATCAAATATATAATTCCTGCCCAAACTCTCAGTTCTAATATTTATTTATTTACGGTATTTATACCCCGTCCTTCTCACCCCAAAGGGAACTCAGAGCAGCCTTACAAATTCAATGCCATATAAAACAGACATATAATAAAATAATATATACATTAAAAACACAAAATTAAAAAGCACATAAACATTAAATTCAATTATTAAAAACCACGCAGTCCGAAAATCATAGTAAAAGGTGTTGTTTTCAGTAAATATTGCACAAATTCTATCTTCACTTATTTCACTGCATTACTGTCCAAAGGCTTGGTCCCATAGCCATATTTTAAATTTATTTCTGAAGGTCAGGAGGGAGTTCCAATCTGATTTCGCTTGGGAGGGAGTTCCATAGCTGAGGGGCCACCACTGAGAAGGCCTTGTCCCAACCAACTGCACCTGCAAAGGATGTGGGACCAAGAGCAGGGCCTCCCCAGAAGATCTTAACTCACAGAGGGAGAATAGTGTATCTACTAGACTATAAGCCTAATTTTAGCCTTTTTTTGGACTGAAAAAAAGCCCTCCTCGGCTTATATTCGGGTGAAGGTTCTGACGGGAAAGCATGGGGCTGAAAGAAGGGCTTATTTCAGCCGCATGCCTTCCTACCAGGATCCTCACCTCTTTACACAGCAACCCAGCTCTCCTCCCTCTCTTCCTCTCTTTTCGACTTTTCCTTATTTATATACACACAGCATTTTCCCCAAAATGTATAGTTAAAATAAACAGGTGTTTATTGGAAGGATACATAAAGACATTTACATTGAAGAAGTTTAGAATAATGGTTTAATCAGAGTCTTATCTTGAATTACAGTTTTATGTAAATATTGAAAAACATTTAACCTCCTGATGCCTCAATTAATGTAATGTTATTGGTATCTATTTTTATTTTGAAATGTATTATACGGGTAATATGCATTATATGGGTAATATGTTTCTTCAAGAGACATTTCTTTGATACACTGGTACAAATTCATTCCTTTAATGCTGTACCTCTTATCTTTGCAGGATGATGATAACAACAACAAAGTATGGATTGTCCATGTTGCAATCCCAGGTGACAGCAGGATTTAAGAGAAACAACTGGAAAAGCTGACACGATATGAGGATTTAAAGATCGAACTGCAAAGACTCTGGCACAAGCCAGTCAAGGTGGTCCCAATGGTGATCGGCACACTGAGTGGAGTGCCTAAAGACCCTGGCCTGCACTTAAACACAATCGGCGCTGACAAAATTGCCATCTGCCAGCTGCAGAAGGCCATCTTACTGAGATCTGCAAGTGTTATTCGCCAATACATCACACAATCCTAGACACTTGGGAAGTGTCCAACGTGTGATCCAATATAACAGCTAGCATAGTGTCTGCTGGGGACACATCTTGTTGTGTTTTTAATAATAATAATAACAACAACAATTCTTGTATCCTGCCACCATCTCCCTGAAGGGACTTGGGGTGGCTTACACATGGCACAAAGTGCCTAAAAACAAAACGTAAAATAAAAACAATTTAAAATACAATTAAATAAAACATAAAAACATATAACCAACAACTCAATTAAATGCAGAATCAGCATTCGCAAAAAGATAAAAATTTAAATGAAGTGAAGAGAAAATAAATACCTTTCTCTGATCCAATTGTGAGTTGTGTAGTAGTACAGGAGTCATGTTTGGATACAATTTTACCATCACACCAATATCTCTGCATTAAAAAAATGAAACTTGTATTAATTTCATAGGGCGGCTGTTGGAGGGGAGTGAATCACATAAATGTAATCCCTATAGGCACAGATAAGATGGTTTCAACTCTTTGTCAGCTCTTTATAAATAACCTCACTTTATCTGACTGTACAACCATTTCACTTTGCAGCTCTCCTTAAACCAGTGTCTTCCCAAAGTATTTAAAACAGTCCCTTCACCATCTGAATGCCAAACTTCTGTATAATAAATAGAATTACAACAATCCATGAGCTGCAAACGTAGCTTTAGGATAGTTTCTAAAAAGGAGCAGCGGTGGCACAATGGGTTAAACCCTTGTGCTGGCTGAAAAGAAAGGTCGGCACTTTGAATCCGCAAGACGGGGTGAGCTCCCATCTGTCAGCTCCAGCTTCCCATGCGGGGACATGAGAGAAGCTTCCTACAGGATGGTAACACCTGGACAACATCCTTGCAGATGGCCAATTTTCTCACACCAGAAGCGACTTGTAGTTTCTCAGGTCGCTTCTGACACAAAATTTTTTCAAAAAATCATATGTGCCATTTTAATGTTGTATTTCTGACAGATTTAGCTGTATTGTTTTAACATATGGTGTGAGCTGCTTTCAATCCTGTATCAGAGGAAAGCCAGGTATTAAATATATGTATGTATGTTTCTATCTATTTATCTGAGAAATAGATTACATCCAAATAGCAGTGGTTTCCTTTACCTCAATTCAGTAACTGTGGCTGTATAAATAGCTCCAAATTCCAACTGATAGTCTTGCTGTTGAAAAAGAAAGATAGCAAAAAGTCACAAAGAGAAAAACAAAAATAGACAAAACATTTTAGTACAAAGAATAAAATAAACCCTTGCTTTTTTTTAAAAAAAAATCAGAAATGACCTTTTAGTGTGGAATATATTTGAAGCAAAATTTTGCACTGCACTCATAGAATCACAGAGTTGGAAGAGACCTCATGGGCCATCCAGTGCAACCCCCTGCCAAGAAGCAGGAAAATCGCATTCAAAGCATTCCTGACAGATGGCCATCCAGCCTCTGTTCAAAAACCTCAAAAGAAGGAGCGTCCACCACACTCTGAGGCAGAGAGTTCCACTGCTGAACAGCTCTCACAGTCAGGAAGTTCTTGTCCATTGTATTTTACCCAAAAGCTGTTAAAACTTGCCAAAAGAGCTTTAAGAAGGGAAAGTACATACATGAAAGAAGTAAAAAAAAATACTCATAATTATTACTCATAAAACAGAAATCTAAAGTTATTAGAACATGTCCTTACATCATCTTTGCAGACTTCAGTAATAAATTCTTGTGCTTCGTGCATAGCAGCTGGTGTTGGGGCAAATATGGAAAATGTCTCTTCATCTACTTGGCTAACAGTAACCCCTTTACAGGAAAAAAAAATAAACACAGAGCAATTAATTTAAAGTATGTCATTTGTTGGTTGTATGCAGTAACGTTTAAGCAAGTTATACAAATCATATTAGAATTTTTTTTATTGTGTCAGAAGTGACTTGAGAAACTGCAAGTTGTTTTTGGTGTGAGAGAATTGGCTGTCTGCAGAAATTTTGCCCAGGGGATGACAGGATGCATTACCATCATGAGGGAGGCTTCTCTCATGTCCCCACATGGGAAGCTGGAGCTGACAGATGGGAGCTCACCATGTCTCACGGATTCAAACCGCTGAGCTTCAGGTCAGCAGTTCAGCCGGCACGAGGGTTTAACCTTGTAGTTATGAAGAATGAAGTAGTGCAAGCACAATACTCCAAGCACTTGCATGCCACAAGTATTTGCATACTACAAGGGGACAAATTTATTTATTTGCAACATTTATATGCCGCCTTTCTCACCCCGAAGGGGACACAGAGCAGCTTACAAGATATATATTATATACAAT